GTTTACCAATTTTTTTATTTAGCACTTTGAATAACATATTGTGTTAGTTTATAAGGGCAAACAATTTTGTACTACTAGTGTAGGTCCTCCAGCAAAACGATTTTGGAGCAAAATACCCTCACATTTATGTTCACATTTCACATTTCAAAATTATTTCAAAACTTACAATTTTAAAAACTTTTGATTTACATATCCATTTTTGATAAATTTTGTATTTTTAGAATCCTCTCATCAAAATCTATCAAATAAGATCCATAAACAATATGAAATTTTAAAAAATTATTGTGTTCGTTATTACATCATAGTGAAATTTTACTGACTTTGCATGGTAAAAGTTTGTTGTCCAATATCTATGAAACTTCTATTTTAGTGCTAAAAATTAAAATTTTGAAAATCAAATCCAAAATTAGATCTTTGATTCCAAATTTAACACCAAAAAGTTTAAATTTATTGCTCCAAAAGAAAGTCAGCGAAATAACACACGACTAATGAAATAGGACTTCAGTTAGAGAAATTTCACTGCGTACGACAAATGGTAAACATAGAGTAGACCGAGAAAAAACATGCAAAACAAACAACAACAATTAGATTTCTATCAACTACTAACATACAAATCAATAAATAAAATAAATAGAGAATGAGAAACTTCATTCAAGGCAATCAACGTTGAACTACAGAGATGCATCAAAGAGAGATAGAACCAGTGCTTGACAGATTGGTGAAAATAATGATTTTTTCAAGTGAATAGAGCACACCCTACAACTAAATGATTTAGTCCATAATTTTATGGTTCCAAACTTTTCGTGATTTAATTTAATTATAAATTTCATGAAAATCGTAGGTAGCCATTTAATCTTAATTTATTTTAAAAGCAAACCAAATTAAAAGAGTCGAGCGAGAAAAAACATGCAAAACAAACAACAACAATTAGATTTCTATCAACTAATAACATACAAATCAATAAGTAAAATAAATAGACAATGAGAAACTTCATTGAAGGCGATCAACGTTGAACTACTGAGATGCGTCAAAGAGAGATAGAACCAGTGCTTGACAGATTAGTGAAAATAATGATTTTTTCAAATGAATAGAGCACATCCTACACTGAATGATGGAAGAGCCTAAGTGATTGATGGTGGCAGCAGTGACTTTGAGTGAAAAGAATATAAGCAGTGGTGGCGGTGGCAAATGCGATTAAGGTGGTGGTAGTAGATGTCATTGAGGTGACGTCAGTAAACACAATAGAGAGAGAGAGAGAGAGAGAGAGAGAGAAATGATACAAAAAGAAAAGAAGAGAAAAACAATAGAGAGTGGGAAAAAAATAGTAAATTGGTGGAGAGTTCTAGGGTTTCTAGGGCTATAAGGTTAGTTTTGACCATTTATGTTAAAATTTGTCCTTATCCTTCTAAGATTTGAAATCCTAATGACTTTAACTATCAAGCAAATTGTTAGTATGCTCGAACTTTTACACAAATATGTAGAGGATCTACCCTTAATTAGCCTATATCATATTAAAAATCATTTTGTGGTGGTATATCAATTTCTAAATTTACCACAGTCATTAGGGTTGAACCCAAAAAAAAAAAAAAAAATCATAAAAATTGCAAACGGTCTGATCCAAATTGAATCGGACAATTTGGTTTATTTTTTTTGAAAGTACTGTTCAATCTTGATTCTTAAATCGGTGAACCGTACTAAATGATTTAGTCCATAATTTTATGGCTCCAAACTTTTCGTGATTTAATTTAATTATAAATTTCATGAAAATCGTAGGTAGCCACTTAATCTTAATTTATTTTAAAAGCGAACCAAATTAAAAGAGTAGACTGAGAAAAAACATGCAAAACAAACAACAACAATTAGATTTCTATCAACTACTAACATACAAATCAATAAATAAAATAAATAGAGAATGAGAAACTTCATTCAAGGCAATCAACGTTGAACTACAGAGATGCATCAAAGAGAGATAGAACCAGTGCTTGACAGATTGGTGAAAATAATGATTTTTTCAAGTGAATAGAGCACACCCTACAGCGAATGATGGAAGAGCCTAAGTGATTGATGGCGGCAGCGGTGATTTTGAGTGAAAAGAATATAAGCAGTGGTGGCGGTGGCGGTGGCAAATGCGATTAAGGTGGTGGTAGTAGATGTCATTGAGGCGACGTCAGTAAACACAATAGAGAGAGAGAGAGAGAGAGATGATACAAAAAGAAAAGAAGAGAAAAACAATAGAGAGTGGGAAAAAAATAGTAAATTGGTGGAGAGTTCTAGGGTTTCTAGGTCTATAAGGTTAGTTTTGACCATTTATGTTAAAATTTGTCCTTATCCTTCTAAGATTTGAAATCCTAAGGACTTTAATTATCAAGCAAATTGTTAGTATGCTCAAACTTTTACACAAATATGTAAAGGATCTACCCTTAATTAGCCTATATCATATTAAAAATTATTTTGTGGTGATATATCAATTTCTAAATTTACCACAGTCATTAGGGTTGAACCCCAAAAAAAAAAATCATAAAAATTGCAAACGGTCTGATCCAAATTGAATCGGACAATTTGGTTTTTTTTTTTTGAAAGTACGATTCAATCTTGATTCTTAAATCGGTGGACCATACTAAATGATTTAGTCCATAATTTTATGGTTCCAAACTTTTCGTGATTTAATTTAATTATAAATTTCATGAAAATCGTAGGTAGCCACTTAATCTTAATTTATTTTAAAAGCGAACCAAATTAAAAGAGTAGACTGAGAAAAAACATGCAAAACAAACAACAACAATTAGATTTCTATCAACTACTAACATACAAATCAATAAATAAAATAAATAGAGAATGAGAAACTTCATTCAAGGCAATCAACGTTGAACTACAGAGATGCATCAAAGAGAGATAGAACCAGTGCTTGACAGATTAGTGAAAATAATGATTTTTTCAAATGAATAGAGCACATCCTACACTGAATGATGGAAGAGCCTAAGTGATTGATGGTGGCAGGGTGATTTGAGTGAAAAGAATATAAGCAGTGGTGGCGGTGGCAAATGCGATTAAGGTGGTGGTAGTAGATGTCATTGAGGTGACGTCAGTAAACACAATAGAGAGAGAGAGAGAGAGAGAGAGAGAGAAATGATACAAAAAGAAAAGAAGAGAAAAACAATAGAGAGTGGGAAAAAAATAGTAAATTGGTGGAGAGTTCTAGGGTTTCTAGGGCTATAAGGTTAGTTTTGACCATTTATGTTAAAATTTGTCCTTATCCTTCTAAGATTTGAAATCCTAATGACTTTAACTATCAAGCAAATTGTTAGTATGCTCGAACTTTTACACAAATATGTAGAGGATCTACCCTTAATTAGCCTATATCATATTAAAAATCATTTTGTGGTGGTATATCAATTTCTAAATTTACCACAGTCATTAGGGTTGAACCCCAAAAAAAAAAATCATAAAAATTGCAAACGGTCTGATCCATATTGAATCGGACAATTTGGTTTATTTTTTTTGAAAGTACGGTTTAATCTTGATTCTTAAATCGGTGAACCGTACTAAATGATTTACTCCATAATTTTATGGTTCAAAACTTTTCGTGATTTAATTTAATTATAAATTTCATTAAAATCGTAGGTAGCCATGTAATCTTAATTTTTTTAAAAGCGAACCAAATTAAATCGTACTTACCATTAACTAAGTTTTACTTTTTTTCACATTTATATGAAGGATAAATTACATATACTCTTCCTGAAATTTAATTAAAATACGATTTGTTTTTTGTGATTTTGTAAATTACATCTCGCCTCTTGAAATTTTTAATTTTTAATTTCATAATAAATTGACTCTTTTATTAAAAAAAAATCATCAAGTCAATTAATAGTTTTTAATAATGTCAAAAATTTATTTCACTTAATAATTTAGATAGTTTTATCATTATATAGAACAATAGTTAAGAATTTTATTTTTTCAATTAAGTGTTTGTTTGGCATCATTTGAAAAAATCAATAAAAAAACAAAAAAGTTTATACTATTCATAATGTTTGGGCGGAAAAATGGAGCTGAGTACTCAGAGGGAAAAAAGACATTTTTGCCTTTCACTAACATGCATAGCTCACGGCTATTTAGAAAAAAAAAAAAAAAAAAAAAAAACCAAAAAGTCAAACAATGCACCAGTGCACTGTGAGAGAGGGGAAGTGACAAGTGCTTAGTGCTCAATGCACTGTAAGATGCTCAATGCACTGTTAAAAGGTAGGAAGCTAATTTTTGTATTTGATACAATATTTTAATATACATTTTTTTTTTTACTTTTTTAGTCAAAAAGTTAAAAAATGCACATATATAGTTGATCCCAAACAATCCTTAATTATGTTAAATAAAAAATTCTAATAAGAAAATATTTATAATTTTTCAAACTATAAAGAATAATTCATATTTTAAGCAATTTATCCTATACAAAACTATGAGTCAAGATTGGAAATGGTGTTAGACATGGATTAAAAAAAAATTAAAAAATAAAAAACAAAAAAGTTATACAAAGGTAATGTATCATGTAATAAAAAATAAAAAAAATTAAATATCAAACAAAACACATTTTAGTAATATTTGTTAATTTATATAAGAGAAATGTTTGGCATCATGAAAATTTTTTCATGAAAATGATAATGAAAAATCTGTGACCCTTAGATTACCTTGATTAGTGTGTAGTACTTTATTTTAAGTGTAATCCAAAGATCATAAATCTTTCATGATCATATTCATGAAAAACTTTTTATGATACCTAGCATTACTGTTTATATAATACTTACTCTAAAAATGCTTCTAAAGCTTTTGATTTTTTTTTAAGAAGTTAGTTTAAAAGGCACAACTTGAGATTTGGGGCTGTGTTTACTTTAAATCACACGTTCCACGTTTTACATTTTCGTTTTTTGTTGTTAACAACGTTCCATCATACTTCAATACTAATAAAATTTGTCCACAGACTATTTGTTTAATTTGAAATTACAAAAAAGAAAAAGAAAAAGAAAAACGAAACAGTAGTTAAGGAGAACGGAAGCTTCTCAACCCCTCTTTGACTTTGACCCAGCAGTAGAGTAGACAAAGCCAACTACCCATTCCTTATCTGACACGTGTTCATGACAAAGACCCGGATAATAATCACGCTTTAAACAACAAAAAATATAAAATAAAATAAAAAAGTATTAAATAAGTTGGTTGTATTTGGAAACCATATTTCGTTCTCTTCTCTAATAATCGGGATTGAAGACTTCCACCACAGCACTTCCGAGTTTTCAACGTGTCATCAACCTCATCACCCCTCCGCTGAGAAAATCTCTCTCTCTCTCTCTCTATCTCTCTCTAGAATTGAAGCAGTTATGCCGTTCTGCTACGTCGGCTCGTACCAAACGAGCGGAGATTCAGAAGCTAACAATAATGGAACCAAGATTTTCTACAGAACCTACGGCCGCGGACCCATCAAAGTCCTTATGATCATTGGTACTGTTTTTATTGTGTTTTTTGAATTGGGTTTTTGATTAATTTTTGTGGGTCGGAGATGAATTTTTGGTTGATGATCAGGATTTGCTGGTACCCACGATTCATGGCATCCACAAATCAAGTGGCTCACAGGGACGGTGACGCCCAATGATGATCAATTTATGGCCGTCGATCTTGACGCAGCTGAGGTTGGTGGTGACGGAAACAGTGAAGGTCGTGTGGAGGTTTGTGCTTTCGATAATCGTGGAATGGGTCGCAGCTCTGTACCCACACAAAAGTCAGCATACACGTTAGTCTCATATATATCTATCTATCTATACTTACTATTATAAAGTGAACACATAATATGGTGTCCTGACTCATGTCATGTGGCAGTATTTTTTTTTATAAAAACCCATGACCATGACCATGGGTTTAAGTATAAGGACTCATACCACTTAAGCTAAGTACATATTATAATATTAATTTCATTATTATTTTTTCTTATTCCATACTATTAATTTTATAGAATGCCACGTCAACAACAAAGATGGAGGGAAATGATCCTAATGATTGAATACATTTTGCCTAGCATTGAAGGCTAGCTACATGTAGCTAGTGAATATGAGTTGAGGCAAAATGCCTAATCATATGCCTAGTGCATTAGAATTGAAAAAAGTGAATCACACTAGGCATTTTAACTAACAAGTATTATATGCCTAGTGCATTGGAGATGCTCTTAGAAGCCCGAAAGAACTAAATTTGTTAATTTTTCTGGTCCTTTTACCCTTTTTTTTTTTCTTTTGATCTGTTTGGTCGCTGAGAAAATGGGTGGGAAAAAAAAGTGAAAATTTGGTGATCTAGACTATCATGATTCAAGATTGGAGAAAATAGAAACTCCACTTATCTGAGCCTATTCAACTTTTAGCCTTTGAGGATCAGTTGAGGTGGTGTTTTAAATTGTTTCCTAGCTCCTGGAATAGTGGATGTAGTCCTCAAAGAATTTATTTTTGTTGTGTGCAGAACAAGAATCATGGCAAAAGATGCAATAGCCCTAATGGATCATTTGGGTTGGAGAAAAGCTCATGTTTTTGGCCATTCAATGGGTTAGTCCATGACTCTTATCTCCATTGAAATTGTTATCTTACTCTTTTACACAAATTTGAACTCGTGGATGCATAATGCTGGCTCTAGATTTTATGTAATGGGTTGCATACTTATTGTTTATCATGATAATTGAGTTAATTACTTTTAGTTGTCTTATCTTCTGTGTCACACAGGAGCTATGATATCTTGTAAGTTAGCTGCACTGGTACCGGATAGAGTTCTGTCTCTGGCTCTACTGAATGTAACTGGTGGAGGTTATGAATGTTTTCCAAAGGTAGAATTTCTTTTTTTGTAACCGTACAAGGGATTATGTATGGCATCCATTAACTGCAAAACGTGGATTTAAATCCATAAAATGTGGCTACTTCTATTAATTAGTGATGACTTGTTGGCCTTGGCATCATTAGGCGCGTGGCTATTACAACCCATTAACTTGGATGAAAAAACTAACTGTGCACTTTGGTCCACATTTTTCTGGGGTATACAAAGTATATAACACAAGCAACTTGACCTCCTTGTGAAAAATGTTGCCTGTATTATACTTTGTAAATAATGTGATGGAACTATACTAGTTGTCTGTGTATGCATTATGGCATCTTGCAAGCATGAAAGTCAACTTTTTGTGGGCATTATATGATTTATTGCATATTGTTTTCCATTTCCTAATTTAAAACTTACATGTGTTGTTAGTCACTCATGTTGATATGTAAAAAATTAGGGTGGAAGACAATAAATGTATCATTATTTTCTAGGTTAGGCAAATGAATTTATCAAATTCTAAAGGCCTAGGTTTGGAAAGAGCTAATAGGAGCTCATACCATGGGAGCAAGGAAAAACATGCAGGTTTTAGTCTTATTAGCATTGCTATAGATTTGACTTTTGTTTAGAGTCATTGGAGACCAACTGTTTATTTCGCATAAAGAACAGGAATTTTTATCAAGATTGCATTGAAGCCAGTTACCAGATATGATGGTCACATTTTTAGTCTTTTGCAGCTTGATCGTCAAACATTATCCATTGCAATCCGTTTCTTCAAGGCGAAGACTCCTGAGCAAAGGGCAGCTGTTGATTTGGAGATTCACTACACAAAGGTCTATTGTTATTCTTGTTCATCATTCTCCTGTTTTATAGGCCATTACAGATGAGAAGGAATATTTGATGAAGTAAACTGAGGAAAAAAAGAAAGATTCTTTGTATTTATTTTTAACATAAATATACATAATGGGCTGGTTATCGATCCTAACCAGATGATTATGATTACTTATGTTCTCCCTTATTCCATGATCGGAAGGGGTAGGGTGGGGACTTAATGATTGTTTTACAGTTACTAGGTTTTGCTTCAGTGGACGTAGTGACTTTTTACATTTACACCTTAGAATTATCTTGGCTTGAAGATGATTAATTTCGGTAATAAGTTGAAGATTAATTCTGACCTTATAATAGTTCATATGTCTACTTTTTCTTTTATGATTTCTACTCAGTCATCCATGACAAATTATATGTATTCTTGAGCTCTAATTTGAAGAACATGGTTGCTGGCATGCATGCATGCTTTATGTGGCTCTGTGACCACCTACAGTAGTTTATGTTATATTTTCTGTGCAGGAATACCTTGAGGAGTATGTTGGACCTAACACAAGAAAAGCAATTTTGTATCAAGTAAGGAATGCTAAGCCGATCAAACTTTAACTTGTTTTGCTTTATAATCGCACTAGGATACCATAGCCAAATAATTACTGCACTTTCTCCTAAAAGTTTTTCATAATATATAATCTTCATTTTCACTGAACTGTCCAATTTCCCTTCTGCAATGATTCTGAGAGATGAATCAGAACTAACTGGTATTATCACTGTAAATGAGACAACCATTGCTGATTATATAAAAATAAGTCTCAAGTGGTTTGCAGATTGCTATCATCTTTGGTGGTACTCCTTAACAAAAGGAAGGTGCAGGGGTTCAATTCCCAGGAAAGGGACATGGGGTGGTGGTATTATATATATAGGAGTGTGCTACACTTGCTTTGTATCTCACATTATTGAAAAGAAAAAGAAAAAAGAAAAAGAACTATTCTGAAAAACATGTCGTACAATGCTACTATTTATGAAAACTCCCGTTATTGAAAATCATGAAATGCATGGATATAATCAGTCTTCATTTATCTTCAACCATGTATTTGTTAAGCTACCAGTTATCACAAAAACCTCAGCAATTAGGAAATGAGCCACCAATGTGCTCTTCAACACACTCTCTCACGTGTCACCTGCAACCCCATCTTGCACGTGGAGAGCTATACATAGAGAGAAGTAAGAATCTAAATGGGGACCAAATGTAAATGGAATGCCTTGAACCCAAGACCTCCCCCACTCAAGCTCTGATATTATGTTAAGTTACCGATTGTCCAAAAAGCTTATACTACAAAGAAATCGGCCCAACAATTTATATCAAGCTATTCAACAGTATTTGGCTCATCGTGATTTTCGACATGAAGGAATTTCTAAATAATACTTTTCTGCTATCTTTAGATAGATGAAGTTAAAAGTTAGTGTTCTCAGTCCAAGTATCAAACTAGTGAGTTGAGGTTGCTTTCATGTTTTCAGGCTGTGGCCTTATTTTGAATACTTTTATGCAGGAATATGTGAAAGGTATATCAACAAGTGGGATGCAGTCCAATCATGGTTTTGAGGGCCAAATTAATGCATGCTGGAATCATAAAATGTCACAAATAGAACTTGAATTAATCCGCTCCGCAGGATTTCTTATTTCAGTCATTCATGGCAGGTATTTTCTCTGCTCAATAGCACTACTCGATTCTCTTTCTTGTCAATCTTTTCGAATATTCCCACTTAGAAAACTAACCATATTTCCTGAATGCACAGGGATGATATCATTGCTCAATTATACCATGCAAAGAGACTCGCTGAAAAGCTGCAGCCTTCTGCTAGAATGATAGAACTACATGGAGGGCATCTAGTGAGTCATGAGAGGACAGAAGAGGTATTTGATCTTATTGTAATGGTTTTAGATATGAAGTTGTCCTTCAAAAATAATTGGCTTGGTGGCTATTCTATATTCAAGACTACATAAAATAATGTATGGTCTGCATTGTAGTAGGATATATTAAGAAGCAAGGATACGGACATAGGAGAGAGATATGACAAAATGTGAACATACTGAGATGGCAATTTTCAAAAATAAAGAACATGCTGGGACGAACGAATAAATAAATTATTTTAAATATATATACATAAAAATGATGACTTATTCATTTTTACATTACAAACACATTTATATTTTATAATATTAAAACGGTTAGAAATTATTTTCTACATTCTATTATTGCAAAAGAAGTCTGAACATAATGTTCCCATTTCTATTATTTTTAATAGCTTATTCACAAACAAATTAGAAATTCTAGGCTTTTTGAGTTCCTAATATTAAAAAGCTTAAAAAATGAGGGATTAATAGATATATATCCACATTATTTTGATTTTAATCATTGACTCTCGAGTTATAATCTTCAAACCTAGGAAGTACGGATACGGATATAGATACAAGATACAGCAATACGGATACAGCGATATGCTAAAATTTGAAAAAGTAAGATACGTATGGTGGGGACTAGAAAGCATAGATATGGATACGAGGTACGGATACGATACGATACGGATATGGCGATATGACAAAATCTTAAAAAGTAGGATACGGGTACTGCTAGGATACGTTTGTAAAAAATAATAAATAAATAAATTATTAGCAATGAGTTATACATAAACTCAAGAATGTTGAGAAACCACAGTAACTTTATAATGCAGAATATTAATCTTTAAGAATTAGATATTAATTTAAGCCAGTAGCTAGTTTAGTTTTTAAATTTTCAATAGGTCTTGCAAATATTTCATTTCAATATCAAGTCTAGTATGTTGATATTATAATATCAAAACAATCCACAACTTGACCCTATGCTTTACCTTTTCACTAGTCAAAAATATTCTATGTAAGTTTATTTGCTTATTTATTTATTGATATTTAATTTTACTATTGTTATATTATCTTATTAATCTTTATTTCTATGTAGTTATAGGAGACATGCATGATACAATGAAGATATGTCAATTTGATGAATTCTATTACTTTAGCTTAGTATGTTATTTTTATAAAAAAAAAAACTAATCAAAGTATTGTAAAAATGTTCTATTTATCCTTGCAATTATATTATATTATGATGTTATGCAAGAAATGATACAATTTTAATTTCGTAAAAGGAGTAATACGTAACTTGGAGCATTTGATACTTCAAAATTAATTAAGAAGTATCCGATAATATGTGACTTAGAGCATCTGATACTTCAAAACTAAGTATCCGATACTTCAAAATTAATGAAAAATTAATTAAGAAGTATCCGCTACTTTTAAGAAGTATCGGATACGTATCCATAAGTATCCAAAGAATATCGGTATCCGATACTTTTAAGAAGTATCATAGGGTGGGGATATGTTCATAAAAAAAAATATTTTTTATAATTTTAATAATGTAATATGTATGAAAATAAAACCTAAAGCAACTTAATAAATAAAAAGAGGGATTCCTATTAAATAAAGATATACTAACATTAAAGTTTCTAAAATTAACGGTAGCATTTGGTAGAGTTTTCTAAATATGATTTGAAAATACAATTGTATTTTGAGTTTATGAGTTTTGGAATTATGATTTGAATGTGGAAAATTTGTTTGGTTATGAGTTTTTAAAAGAGTTTTGAATTAAGTTTTGGAAGGAGTATTGAGTTTTTGAAATTAGAAAAGTTATTTAATTCAAAAATTTACAACTCATAACCGAACACCCAACCTAAAATTCTATCCAAAGCTCATATAAAAATTTAAAAAATTCTGAAAATATTTTTTATTTACAATATAAAAATAATAGGTGCCAAAAAAAAAAAAAACAAAAAAACGAATACTGTTCCGATCAACTGGTTGGACATCTGGGAGGAGGACGACTAAGTTAGCCAAATATTCCCATTTGGAAAAGAGTTTTCAAAAATGGGTTTGAAATTATAATTTGAAAACTCAAAACAAACTCCACACTCATGAAAGTGGTTGGAAATGTGTTTGGCAAAGAAATACTTACATTAAAACTATGTAGAGAAAAAAAAAAGAAAGAAGTAGCCTAATAGATAAGGGAAAAAGAAAAGAAAAAAAAAAGAACAAGCGCAAAGGGTATTGACCATTGAAAAGATATAAATATAAAATAATTAAAAAAATTATATACTTATTTGGCGCATTAAAATATAAAAAATTAAAACCAAACCAAGTCAAGCCTTAAGTCCCATCAAATGGGGTCGGCTACATGAATCCTTCTTCTCCACACGGCCCTATCAAAGGCTATTTCATTAGTCAAATTAAGTAGATTCATATCTCTATTTATAACGCTAGTCAACGTTAATCTAGGCCTACCCCGTCCTCTAACACTTCCATCTATCGTTACAATATCGTATCTCTTCACTACTGCCTCTGTTGGTCTCCGTTGAATATGACCAAACCATCTCGAACGATTCTCTCTCAACTTATCTTCTATCGGTGCTACTCCTACCCATTCCCGAATACACTCATTCCTAATCCTGTCCTGTCTAGTCTTACCATACATCCACCTTAGCATTCTCATCTCAGCCACATTCATCTTATCTACATGTTGTTTCTTGGTTGCCCAACACTCCGTCCCATACAACATAGCTGGTCTAATAGCCGTTCTATAAAACTTACCTTTTAGTCTAGTGGGTATTCGTTTATCGCACAATACCCCAGACGCACTTCTCCACTTACACCATCCCGGGAGCCTCGCCCCGCGGGATTACGAGGGTCAAGGAACATCAATCGGTTTCTAATTCGGCCGCCGACAAAAAATCACATTAATTACGAGGGTCAAGGAACATCAATCGGTTTCTAATTCGGCCGCCGACAAAAAATCACATTAATTACGAGGGTCAAGGAACATCAATCGGTTTCTAATTCGGCCGCCGACAAAAAATCACATTAATTACGAGGGTCAAGGAACATCAATCGGTTTCTAATTCGGCCGCCGACAAAAAATCACATTAATTACGAGGGTCAAGGAACATCAATCGGTTTCTAATTCGGCCGCCGACAAAAAATCACATTAATTACGAGGGTCAAGGAACATCAATCGGTTTCTAATTCGGCCGCCGACAAAAAATCACATTAATTACGAGGGTCAAGGAACATCAATCGGTTTCTAATTCGGCCGCCGACAAGGCCTTTAATTAGCAGTTTAAACATATAAGCATGAACAGATAATCATACAGTCAAACAGATAGAATGCAATTAACTAATATGTACTCAGTCAATTCGGTTTTCAATTTCAGTCAGTCAGTTCAGTACCATTTATATGTTCAATTATCAGTTATCAAGCCGAGCTTGACTCAATAAACTAGCTCGATAAGCAAATCAGTCGAGCTTGAACTCAGCAAAGCTCAACTCGGCTCATTTGTAGCCTACCCTCTATTAGTACCAATACAACAATTAGTATATTAGTTTCAAGGCACAACCAAACAAAAGAAGTTTTTCTTTTACAATATAATATTTTTTGGAAAAAAAATTTGGATGAAAACCATTTTTCGCCAAAACAAACTTAGCATTAAAAGAATTTATAATTTAAATACTCTCTCTGTCCCAAAATAATAGTCTTTTTTTGAAATTCAATTTTTTTTGATAGTACAATTATTAAACTTTAAAAATATTACTTTTTCAAAATTACCCTTTAATAGTATATTTTTTTTAGTAATATCAATCGTCATAATTGTAATTTTTGTGTTGTTAATCAATTTAAAATAAGGACAAAATAAAAAATTCAAATTATTTTAATTTTTAATTTTTGAAAAAAGAATAATATTATGAGATAATGAAAAATGAAATAAGAGACCTAACAAATGGTACATTTGACAATTGAAAAAAAAAAAAAAAGGAGGAAAGAATCAATCATACCAGTATAAAGGCCTTGACACTATCACCATTGAGCTTAATCTCAAGGTTCGGATCATCAAGAAGCTGCAATAGCACATCCACCATGTCCTTTGCCACAAAATCCTTCTCTTCCTCATACAATTGGTCATCGAGTTCCACATAGTGTTAGCATCACCTTCTAAGTCCCAAGTACCTTCCTTATCCATTCGATTCTTAAATATTTCTAGTTTATCCCCTTTTAAGTCCCACCATCTTGTCCTACGACGCCCACCATCCTTCCTAACTTGGTATTGCCCTCTAAAACATAAATCTAGTACCAAAATCCTATGTTGAGAGACCAGACTCTCACCAGGAATTACCTTACAATCATTGCATTTCAGGCAGTCCACTTTTCTCACTAAGAAATAATCTATTTGGCTCGTAACTAATCCACTCTTAAAGGTTATCAAATGCTCCTCCCTCTTCCTATACATAGTATTGGCCACCACCAGGTCAGAAGCCAACGCAAAATCTAAGATTCTCTCTCCAGCCTCATTTCTGTCACCAAAACCGTATCCACCATGCACCCTTTCATAACCTACTTTATCTATGCCCACATGGTCATTAAAATCTCCACCTATAACCAGGTTCTCTCCTACGGGTATCTCCTGTAAGATCTCATCCATTTACTCCCAAAAATCCTTCTTAGTCTGATCATCTAACCCTACTTGAGGGGCGTAAGCGCTAATAATATTCACTATATTCCCTCCAATAACTAGTTTAACCAGCATAATCCTATCTCCTTTCCTAGTGACCGCCACCACACTTTCCACAAAAAAAATTGGATACTTGTTTGGCATATCCCTCATGTATCCTGCCATATCCCTCAAGTATCCTTCGCATATCCCTCCTGTATCCAAAATTTGAAAATAAAAATAAAAACAAAAATATCGGATACTTATTTGCCGTATCTGATACGTATCCCACCATATCGGACGTATATCCATATCCGATACTTGTACAACACCTTTTTTGAAGGATCCACGCTTTATAGCTTCAATCTTGTGATGTTTTATATTTGTGTGTAAATAAACCCAAGTAACTCAAGCATGTCAATTCTAAAAAATGTTAAAAATAAATGATGTTAGATGAGTATCAGTGACACAAACACGATACCTTCTTTGAAGTGTCCGTGCTTTTAGGGTTAATTACACAATTTTGAAGTTGAGGGGGAGCAAAGTGATAGTTTATGATAGTTGAGGGGGTATCCGTGTAACTAACCCAATTCTGTTTTCATGATGCAATTATATATGAATTTCCCATGAAATTGTCACTATTGTGGCATCGAACACTTTGCAACTCTAATTTTTGGAGCACACATGCACACGTCAAAGGTTTTTTGGTCAAATGTTATGATAGGTTCAAATCCAAGACTTGGTGTATAAAGTGCAAGGATCATACATTGCCTGCAAGATGCAGGGAAAAAACTGTGGCTCGAAAAATCAAAATTGACTAGTCACACTCATTAAAATATTCCAGTGAATTCACAATACAAGCATTAACCTTGAGTTCTACATATTTCCACTATCAAAACACTCAGCTACTCAGCTTGTTTTTTTCATAATATGTTTTCAATATATTTTCTGGTGTTCTGGTTATTGTATGATGTGGGGGACTTTCTAGAAGTTCAAAAAAGATTCTTGTTAACCTCCTCACTTCTACTTTGTGCCATTGTGTTTGTGTGCTGTATGCATTAAAGCATTGTTTTGAGTATATTACATTGTGACAGTATACCAATACGATGATTTAATTGCAACATTTCAGGTCAATCAAGCTCTTTCTGAATTGATCAAGGCATCAGAAAAACAGATGATCCCATATGACTGGACAAACTTGCCCACGAAAAGCTCTGGTAAGTGTTGCTGTTTGTGACTAAAGACAAGCCCTCTCCTCTTCTTTCTTATGTAGGTGCAGTGAATAACACCATCTCCTTAGTAGTGAGACCCAGTTCATTTTTGTCTCTTTTCTTTTTCTTGAGGAAGGCATAGAGAGCTTAGATGATATGACATTGATAAGTATGGAATGGTCCTTAAGGGTGAAACCCTGCAGCCATCACCTTACCCTCAATAGCGCGGATGCTTGACCATACTCAAACAGAGTCCTTTCATGTAATTCACAAAATGGAATCCGTCCTGTGATGAATTTTTGGCAGGACTTAGAAGCATGTTGACGTCGAGACTAAATTGCAAGGATTATTTTTGGGCCAAATGATTTCGGGCCTGTTTGGTGCAGCTTCTCAAGCTAAAAAGTTGATAATCAGGAAACAAAAACTAGAAGCACCCCTCCCCCAACTTGCATATTGAAAAAACTAAAAATCTTCTAGATGTTGATTTGTGATTATGTATCAATTTTAAGTAGTAAATAATAATCTCAATCAAACAATCAAGACAAATCGATACAACGATTTTACGTGGAAAAATCACAATTGGAGCACCTCCAATTGTGATAAAAAAAAATCACGGGCAAAAGTCACAAAACAATCCACTAAAAAGACATAAAGGAATTACACAAGTATACCCTCAATTACCTAGCGAATCCACGTCCGAATTGAACCAACCCCTATGTGCCTCTTCCAGCCCCGTCTTCACTTCAGAATTGTCTTGCCTAACGTTAAATCCACAACGCTGATGTCGAATCACGACAATGAGCCACTCCAGAATCTACCAAAGCTTCAAGCCCAAATTCCACAGAATCCACCGAAAAACAACTCTTTCTTTTATATAGAATAAACAAGCAATCCTTTGATGTATACTTCTTAAACCATGAGTTGAATACTCAATAAAATATCAAAGAAAACTAGCAAAATAGCCCCAGATATAAACCCTAATATCCAAGAAGAAGATCTGGAAGCGTAAGCCTAAAATCTGACTAAAACACATATTTATAGCAATTTGTTCCGCGATCTCCGCTCGAGCGCCGAAATGGCCGCTCGAGCGCAGGAAATTCCTTTCAAGCGGGAAAAAACATCTCCCAGTATTTTTGCAAGCGATCAAACTTCTGGAACCAAGGGTTCTCCGCTCGAGCGCACAAACGGCCGCTCGAGCGGACAGGCAACTTTGAATGTATTTTTACATTTTGCTTCGGGGGCGCTACCCCGAACTTGCCAAGGGGCGCTGCCCCCTAGACCCCCGCGAGCTGACTGGGCAGCTCGATCCCCGTTATAGTCAGCGAAATGGCAATCATGAAAGAATTAGCACCATAAACTTCTCTGCAAGGCACAATTCGGGTTGAATTCGCATCTAAAAACTCATAACCTTACTGAAATAAAAGTGCGAAAACAAGTACAACTGGAAAGAGTTTTGTCAAACGGAATTGCCAAAAATAAAAACCTAACACATATAATCAACTTATGTAGTCTATTTTGGCCTCATAAACTATAAGCAAAATATGCACCAAACACTTTGTCACAAATTCCTATAAAAAGAAAAAATGAAAAGAAAAGCAAAGCTATAAGCAGCTCCAAAAGCTACACCAAATGAGATTAACAGTCTGACCACAAAAGGAACTGTATTAACAGTCTGATCATAAAAGGAACTGCATATATCTATTGAATCCTATTTCTCCACATATATGCTATTGAATTTTATGTTCTGTTTTACAATCATTTCTATTTAATTTTGATGTGCTAATATGCACTATTCCTTTTCCAGGGTGGGTGGCAACAAGGATATCACTTGGAAGTACAACTACTTCTGAAGCAGGAAGCAAATTTTCTTTCATGGTTGACATTTTAGAAAAGCTCTTTCTTTTTCTAAGCATATTTGGCCTCTTTGTGCTGATTTTTGAGTTTTTACAAAGAGGCTTAAGATGTCTAAAACCAGTAGCAGCCGGACCCGCCCTCACATAAGCTTTTTTTTCTACTGGTAAATCATTTAGTTGTGCTGTCTAACACTTGCATTCCAGTTTCTCCTGATTTTGGACATTTCTACTTAGAATATGAGGACCTAAACTGCTTGTGTCCCTTCTACTTGCAGGGATCTTTTCAGTTTGCAACCCCAGTGATGTCAGTTTGTAAAATTCTTTTGCCAGTCGATGGAATCTGTAGAGGAAGAGTTTTGGCTAGAGATTTCAGGGCTTTAATGGCATCGGCACACTTGTCATCCCATGGAGGTGCATTTTTTCATAGTTGAGTTGAACTGTGGTTCGATATTGAATCAACTTGGGAATAAATCTGTCATGTTATTTACTCTTTCATTATACAAGCGGTCCACTTGTAGTACAATCGCAAATTATATCTGGAAAATAGTAAATACACAGGAGTAATATGGCCAGAGTCTGGAAACACCATTTATACAAGGATTCAATTTGGGCATGGGAGGAGATAAACAGCCAACAGGCAGTGGATGGCAGCATCCTCTATTCTTGCCCTTTAGTTGCAACCAACAAAAGGGTTTTTTTATTTTGTTTATTCTTTATTTCATTTTGTTTATCTTAATACAAGTGAACTTATTGTAATATTCAGATTCTGAAAAGGTTCGAAGTTGATTCTGTGTTCAATGGATTTTATGCTTTTGAAGTGTTTTTATAGATTGCTGTGTTATACACCAGTTAATGGTTTAAGTGGTTTTAGAGGTGACAAAATGGGATTGCCAGCTTCTTCAAAAGCCAAGAATTTATCATCAGTCATAAGCTGCTTTTTGGAACACCAAACCAAACAAATATTTCATACACAGCAGCAGCAAACAAACTAACAAAAATATTGACACTGTAAACTTAGGAAAGCCGTTAAAACAGTTGCATACCAATATTTTGGTGATCCTGGTTTGTGTTGAGCAAGTGTCCGTCATCACATACTATGATTTTTACTACAACAAAACACATCAGCTGATGAGTACATCATCATCTATCGGCGCATATAGCTTATTCCTAAGCCTCCAAGTCTGCAGCAAAAGAGTAGTCTGAAGAAGTGCTTATTTATAGTTCACATTTCATTTTTGTTTTTTGTTTTTGGTGCAATCTTTCTTCCTACTTGTCAAGTTTCCACACAAACCAACTGAAAAAGCCTTTTGAAGAAGGAAGAATTGCACACCTTTTTTTTTTTTTGTTGGAGGCCACAGATTTCTTGATCACTCTACTATGTACATGATTTTATGAGGAAATATCATTATATACCTAAACTTTTACGCGTTTTTTAATTTGACCTCAGACTTCGATTAATATTAATTTTACACCTAAACTTTCGAAATTTTGATCAATTTGGCCCCTGCCGTCACATTCCGTCTACAATTAGACGAAATATGTTGACGTTTCATCAAAATTCATTTGAAATTTCATTTTACCCCCACACTATACCTTAAAAATCAATTTGTCCTCCAAACTATACCTTAAAAATCAATATGCCCCCCACATTAGCACATTCCGTCCAGTTATAGACGGAATGTGACGGCAGGGACCAAATTGATTAAAATTTCGAAAGTTTGGGTATAAAATTGATATTAATCGAAGTTTGGAGATTATATTGAAAAATACATGAAAATTTGGAGGGCAAAATGATATTTTCTCTGATTTTATGGAGGAAATATTTATATCAAGCAAGAAAGGCAGTCATATATGATCTATAAAATGAAAGATAATTTAATATTTCAAAATTTAGAAAAATCAAAACAATGAAATGCCTAGAAATCATTCTAAAGAGAACCACCATCGTGTAGCAAAACCATGACAAAAACTAAAGCATGAGAGAGAGAGAGAGAGAGACCTTGACTGATAAGTGCTTTGGGGAACATCAATCCGTGGTGGTGGTGGTGGTGGTGGTGGTGGTGGTAGTGAAGGAAAGTGAGAGAAACTTTGCTTGGTTAGAGAGAAAAGGAGAGAAAACATGATAATTAATAACACTCTCATCTCAATAATATACAAGATGGGCCATTGCGCTAATATACCAGAGGAATATGCTATAATGTGCTTTACGCAAACATAGGATACGAACTTTAGCCAAACAAGATGATTAATTCTTAATAAATAAAATAAATAAATGAAAAATAAAAAAATAAAATCCAAGGCAAACTTCATTTACTCCACCGTGATTTATATTATGGTTTAATCTATGTATAATTTGTCTCTTGTCATTTAAAAATAAAATAAAGGGTTAATTACTTAAAAGTTCTATTCACTGATACTGTAATTTTTTGAATTAACAAGTCCTATTTTGAGATATCATGACGTTTTTGCCCGTCTGTCCTTTGGTTTGATTCGACTATCTAATAAAACTGATAATATTATCAGTTTTTTTCAATTTTAAAACTGAGAATATTATCAATTTTGTACAGCAATGTTCCAAATAGTTGTTTTACTAACTGAGGAAAAAAAAACCGAGTATGAGATTAAACGATTTTGCACTCAGCTCTTTAGTTTTATTTGACTATCTAGTAAAACTGAAAATATTATCAATTTTTTTTCAGTTTTAAAATTAAAAAGATTAGCAGTTTTGCACAACAATATTCCAGATAGTTATTTTGCTAACTGAGGAAAACATAACAGAGTATTAGAGTAAATAGGTGATTTCATTCGCGTGAACTCTAAATCTGAAAACAATAATACCAAAATCAACGTTGAAATTGAAATCGAAATCGAAATAAAAAACAAGAGTTTTGAAATTGAAAAGATTCCCTAAATAATTAGGATTTAAGATATTTAAATCTAAAAAGTCTTGAATCATTGAGCCGATCTATAATGCTGTCGATCACAGTTTTACAAACCTCAAGGTATCAGGAAGCAAAGTGACCATAGCTCATCGAAGACCACTTGTTACGAGAGCTCTTATTTTCACTATTTCACTTCTTCAAATCTTAGAATGTTCCAACTGAATCGATGTTTGCTGATAATAGATGATCTTCTAGCTTTGTTGCTTTGGGATTTGTGAACGAAAAAGTAGAAAAATCTGAAATTTGTGGACATAGAGAGAGAAAGAGAGAGAGATGAACGACTTCAAATCTTAAAATGTTTCCAACTGATATTGATGTTTGATGATACTAGATGATCTTCTAGCTTTATTGCACTAGAATTTGTGAAAGAAAAAGTAGAAAAATATGATATTTGTAGAGAGAGAGAGGGTTTTTTGTGTTTTTGAATTTGTAACGATAGATTGATCATATAAAATTAACAGAGGACTTATGGGTTTAAAGTTTTGTGGTAGGATCTAAGCTACCATTATTTGCCAAAATAGGACCTGATTGTAAATTTCCCTTAAATAAATAATTCTTACGATTTGGGGATTAAAATAAGAAAATATTATTTTGCTCCTCAAACTATCACTCGAAAATTAATTCAACACTTATACCTTCAATTATATCAGTTTTACACCTAAACTATTCAATTTTGGATCAATTTCACCCATGCCTTCAGCTATCATCTATAATTAGACAGAACCCGCTGACGTAACATCAAATTTCATTTAAAACATCATTTTGTCCTTCCAAACTATCCCTAAAAAATCAATTAGATCCCTAATAATATAGAAAAAAATAAATTTAAATATTTAATAATAATTTTTCATCTAAAAAAGTGGGAAAAATAAATTTTAAATTAAAAAATTGAGTATTAGGCATGTTGAGTATTCTTTAGAAAGTAATTGCTAACTTTTGCATCAAATTGTAATTCAATCGATGATATTAGGGGTGCTTGTAGATCGGATTGGATCGGGTGACCTTTCTTCCGCAATCTATTAGAACTCAAGTGGATTGAAAAAGAATCAATCTGTATCCATCCGTTTTGTTAGCGAATGTGCATCGATTTGCCGATTTGGATTTTACTATTTTATGCTCTCTTCTCTTTTTTTTTTTTTTTTTGAACTATTTTAAAGTAATTTTTTACTATTTTGAGCCTTAGTTGAGCTCAAAATTTTTATTCATAATTTTTTATAATTAAAATAAAGCCAAACTTTAAGTAGCTAATATTATTAATAAAATATATTATTTTTAACATACAAAGCATAAAAATATAATATCATTTTCTTAAGGGAGGTTGGCGGATCGAGTTGTGTCGGTTAGCCTCTCATGTATCTGTTTGAACATAGGCGAAATTAAAAACTATTCATCCACATCCGTCTACTCATACTATCAAAATCGCTCAAAAGCAGGTGAATTGGGTTGGGTTAGGTTGGTCTTGGCAAATTGATCGAGTCCATGAGCACCTGTAGATGATACAATCAAATAGGTACTTGTGTGAGTGAAAATCTGACCACACTGCTTGCTTAGTGATCAACTGGAAAGCACAGGCGGAATAGATGGCTTCAGCAACCTGTAACAGAAAGAAAAGGCTCCGGCAGTGGTTCTTCTACCCGGGGGCACTCCGACGATCAAGTCAGTATATCTCTCAAAGATAATCAAGTGCTAAACTTAATATTCAAAACATAAATTGCATACCTTAGACGCACGGGGGTGTCTCTCTTTTATAATATACTCAATCCAAGTCCCACTAGAAGTATGACTTCTATGAACTCCAATTCTGTGCTTACTTTGGACTCCTCAAGAGATAAAGATAAACTCCCTAAGAGCTTTATCCTTATCTTGGCTAAGTCCCCTCTTTGTCTTAGGACTCTTGTCCCTTATCCGTTTATCTCGGACCCCGATATTTTCGGAGATAACCTCGGCAACACTGAGATTACCTCGGCCTAACTACCACGACACGTGGCACCTCGGCTGACACGTCGGCGTCACCATGCCACGTGTTGGTATTCAGAAAATATATCCCCACAACTGCCCCCTAGGTTCTATTACCTCGGCATTTTGAGGTGATGGAACCTATATTGATATTTCTTTCTTCATTGTGGCCAAGAAACTGTTTGGCCGAGATAATTCTTTTCCAAGCCGATGTGTTCGCTTCTGAGAACAAGATTTCAAATGTACTCCATCACGCGCATGAGCTGTCATGCACATCTAACCGTTCCTTTCACGTACTTTGTTTTCATTGGAGCGTGTCTGTGACGCGCCTAAAAGCTGTCTGTCATTTGTCTGCGCCGTCTGACGCGTGCGTTGCTCCAGGCATAATAAATGCCCTATTTTTGCCACCGTTTCAAGTTTTGATAAAACTTCTCTTTCCATCTTTTCCTTTCTTTACTTTTTGCATTTCTGATTTCTTGCTTTCTCTCTCTCTAAACTTTCTGAAATCCACCATTGTTTTAGCTCGAAGTTCTGCGATTTTTTGCCCCTTTACCTTAGCGAAGCTTCCTTCATTTTGTCGTGCCTGCAATCGTTACCATTTCTCGGCGTCGTTCTTTCCGGCTTCATTTGTTCTGGTAAGGTCCTGTTCTCTTTATATCCAATCTCTTTGATGTGCTTTTACCATTACTGCTTTGTTCATACCTTGGATTTGTTGAACTGTTATCTGGATGTGTCTATTCATGATTCCACTTATTCTTTGAACACTTGCACTGTTTCAACACTTTTCTTGCCGTAATTCTTGACCTTTAACCCTTTGTATTCTTCATGTTTCTGATAACCCTTTGTTGTTCTTGAATCTGAAACTTTGCCATTGTTTTCTTGTCTGTATCTATTTTAGATCTGTGCCTTTGATTTTGATCTTTATAGTTCCTTAGCTTGGGATTTGTGTGTAGAGCCTTCAATCTTTTAGGGAAAACTGAAACAAGCCTTATCAGTCCTTTCCTAGGTCTTTTGCCCAGGTTCTTCCAACCCTTCTTTAAATGCCCATCTTCTGAAATACACTCTTCTTTTGTTCAAATCGACGTAATGGGTATGTGGAGGCATAGGGTTAATACCCCAACAAAACTCGAATACTTTAGGCAGGAATTTTCTATCCCAGCTGATGTTCACCTTAAGCTAGTTGGGGATAATGATACCATTATGCCCACAGACCATACGATGCCCTTTCCTATAGTAGCCTTCACTGAATGTGGACTTCGGCTTCCACTTGATCCCCTGTTTCGTGAAGTTCTTTATTTCTACAAGCTGAACCCCATGCAACTCACTATCAACTCTTATAGGGTGATTAACGGTATTATAGCTTTAGCTAGGCAAGAGAATCTTCGGATCACCCTGGCCGACCTTCAATACTGTTATACAATGTGCCCCCTCAATTTGAAGGAAAGGGGCTTTGTTTATTACCTTAAGCCGAGGTCTACCAAGTACAAAATTGTAGCCGACCTCCCAGACTCCAACAAGGGAGCTGGGGATGACTTTGTTATCGCTTCGGGAAATTGAGAATTTAGCCCAGATGAAGATGTCCACCTCTACCCTCTTCCTCGAACAGTAAAAGAGGGCAAGGGTAAGAGCCCTGAGCCAACACTTAGTTGTTTTTATTTAAGTCTAATACTTTCTGTTTCTGACGTCTGTTTCTCTGTCCTGCAGATCTTCATCAGCCACCGAAAAATTTCCGTCAATCCTTCTTCCCAGGAACAGATCTAAAAAAACTCCTTAACCTTCCAATCCATAAACGAAAAGCCCCACTGTTACTAAACTTCATCCCTACATATAAATCCACTTTACCCGACATCCCAAAAAGGAAGAAAAAGAGTCTTTCTCCACGGAGTTTAAAGACTTGTTGCATATGTTAAATGCAATCAATAGACCTACGAAAGCGGAGTTCATTTTGTTTATTTTTAATTTTTGCTTTGCTTGAAGGGTTGAGTTTGTTGAAGGAAAGGGGCTTTGTTTATTACCTTAAGCCGAGGTCTACCAAGTACAAAATTGTAGCCGACCTCCCAGACTCCAACAAGGGGGCTGGGGATGACTTTGTTATCGCTTTGGGAAATTGGGAATTTGGCCCAGATGAAGATGTCCACCTCTACCCTCTTCCTCGAACAGTAAAAGAGGGCAAGGGTAAGAGCCCTGAGCCAACACTTAGTTGTTTTTATTTAAGTCTAATACTTTTTGTTTCTGACGTCTGTTTCTCTGTC